AATCCAAAACAATTTGGGTTAATCGGGCATATAATTTTTCTGGATGATTGGTCATGGACAGGAAAAATGAGATACAGTATTTTTACTTTTATTAATAACTAGCTGTACCCGCGGGCTTTGCCCCGTTTAACTTCATAAGTATTCGCATGGCTCATTCACGTCCTGGTTGAAGTTCGTTCGCTACGCTCTCTCACCTTTAAGTTGGAGCTCGTTCGCTGCGCTCACTTGCCTTCAGGTTAGCTCGTTCGCTACGCTATAACTTCATAAGTATTCGCATGGCTCATTCACGTCCTGGTTGAAGTTCAATCGCTACGCTCTCTCACCTTTAAGTTAAAGCTCGTTCGCTGCGCTCACTTGCCTTCAGGTTAGCTCGTTCGCTACGCTAACTCGCCTCCAGGGTTGAAGTTCGTTCGCTACGCTCACTCACCTTTTGGTTGGAAATTAGCTGTTGTCATAAATAAATAAAAAAAATTATAGTGCTGCACCCTGTTGGTAATCCTTGTAACTTATACTATTGAACATCATAGAACAGAACCAACTTGTTTGATTGAAACAGCTGTTAAGATGCATTAATTCCTTTTAAATATGAAAAATCATAAGATTAACATGGGGAACTCAGAGCCACTGGGGCGGAGCCCGAAAGGATTTTTGGGATAAGAATATGCTTTAATGTTAATCGGGAATGTGAGCTATCATCATGCCAAATTTCAGCCCAATCCGTCCAGTAGTTTATGCGTGATTGAGCAACACACACACACACAAACACACACACAAACTCACAAACTTTCAGATTTATAATATTAGTAAGATAAGATATTTAAGATTATTTTTCATTTACTTTTGTTTGGTTTGATTGTCCCCTGTGCTTTTATTTAGCATCCGTGAGTAAATCTTGCGTTCACGGTGGTACGGGTGATTGTCTCCCGTAAGTCTCTAATTTTTTCTGTCCATGACCGATTATCCGAAAAGATTGTGGCAACACTTGTGAGAAGCGGTGACCTGTTGAACTTGACAAACATGTTCATTTTGAATTTCTGTCTTCCTTTTGGTTAATTTAACGTTTTGGATGATTGGACAGTATATTCGAAGCTAGTGTAGCAGGGATATTCATTCATGATGTTATAGCGTTGTTGGAGGGACTGGAAAGGGCGTTGGATGATCTCCGTCATGGCAAGATCGTTGACCCGGAGATCTGTCATCGCAGAGTCTCATCTCTCTACAGCTGGCACAACGTCACACAGCGGACAGAGAGAGTCTACGCTAGTGTTACCAATGAATCTGCCAAGACCATTGGGCAGCAACTTAGAAGGTAATATTTACAGTAAATTTTAATTAAAGAGAGCATTTTGTTGTGCAACAAAGGGTCTATATCCCTTTTGAGTTTTTAGATATGCTTTATGTCACATTTACTATACAGTATGGGAGATAGTCTTGATACGAGAGCCGTCCAGAAAGTAACGGACGTTTCACATCGGCACCGCTTGGGGCAAGGTTATTGCTGCCACCGCAGCATCAGAGCATTTCTACGTTAGTATGCATCCGATGGTGTGCGCAACATATCATTTGTACTTTTCCTACATTGCAATGTCATTGTCCTGCCAGTTGTGAGGTACAATTTGATTTTTTTTGGCAAAAATTCACAATTGAAATTTATTGCCACATTTTTATGTTGTCGTAGTCTTCCAGGAACGTCAGTGGTGCAGAAAGTCTTCAGTTCTTGTGATCATCTGTTCATTTTGTAAATACGGGACAAAATTTCTTCTATCCTACGTTTTTACACCATTTTATCAACCAGATCTATGTGAAATTTGGTGGAAATGTTCCACAAAATACAATTTTTATACGGTTTTTTGTCTGTCTAGGACCAAGTTATTTTTTTTATTTGATCTACTTTATAAAAAAATTTACAGAGAGGTATTTTTTAGTTAGATCCAGTAAGTAGAAAATTGTGACCTCCATGACCTGTGCTTGAGGCATATTATTTTTTATTAGTGTAAATTGTGGTGTACAATTTCCATATTAAGTAGAAATATAACTCAAATATACTCACAAGAAAAACATTTAAAAGTGCTTCAAGGAATAATTTTATTAAACTTTAAAATTTAACTTATTTTTTTATTTTTGAACATTGTAGATAATACATTCTTGCTCTTACTTACCAGGCTACCATTGTTTTTCAAAGATAGCTAATTGTAATAAGCCAAAGCAACACTAAATAAACAGGCCATAATGCTAAACTAGCATGACATCTTCATAGATGACGGCAATGACGTATGTTTGCCGTTTGGGATCATTTTTGTTATCCAAGAAAAGATTAAATCAAGCAGCTGATCACAAACGGCAAACTTTACGTCATCGCCGTCGTCTATGATGACGTCATGTCAGAGGAGCATTATGGCCTGTTTATTCAGCGTTTTTTTTTTTTTCTATACTTTTATTTTTGTTTCAGCTATATGAGAAGCAACGTTTTACCATTCCTTCTGGTCGTATCTCTTATGTACCTGATACTACAAATACTAGAGTGGTTCGTTCCTAGACAGGTAAGTTATACTTCTTGGCTTTCTGTATGTATGTATGTTCTCTGTATGTATACAAAACATTTAGTCTCTTATTTTCCTTAGTTTAACTATGCATTTTATAACTTATATTGGAGATATTGGCAACTAATAATGAAATGTATGATTAAACTTACAAGTTCAACCAGGTCAATCTGTATAATTAATACGCTACATGAAACTTTGTCGGTTGAACTCCTCCGCCATTTCTTAACCGATTTTATCCATTGACGTCTCATTGGAAAGAGCGTGTCGCGAAGATTTGCAAACTGGCATTACATTTTTTTAAAAGTCCCTTGGGCTCTGCCCCAGTGGCTTTGAAAGTTCCCATGTTATCCTTATGAAGAACATAATTGTTTACATTTTTATCAGCTGTATAATTTAACTGCTGTTATTTATTTTACCTACGACCGTTTTTTAAAGTAGCCATTTCAGTCCAGTTCTTAGAATTGAAAAGTTTCACCTTACAGCTGTTTACTTTCATATCCGCATAGTTTCATTTCATATCCGCATAGTTTTCTCATATCCACACAGGTAACGGACCAATGAGGTTCAAGTATTGAGAGAAAAGAATTAAAATTGTAATGATTCGAACGTCAACTAATCAGCTGATCAGCTGATCAGTTGACCAATTTAATTATTGATCCGACTTGTTCATGTTGATACTCGCGTATTCTTAATTAAGTTGGTGGAAGTCCAAAAATAAATGAAATATTTGCCGAATTCTACCTGATACAATATTATTTATGGTAAGAATGCTGCTAGCAATGTAATATTTAACGAAGTTTAACAAACACGTAATTACAGGAAATCAGCTGATTCTACAACAAGTCGTTGCATCACTTTCAGTGGCAATGACAATACACGAAAACATAACCTCTCTAAAAAGTTATCAGTAGTTATTGTTAGTAATTAAATCCAGATTGATAGTAATTAAAAAACGATCGTAGGTAAAGTAGTGTACGCAACTCGCGTTAATAGTCTTTACGACACTCGTAGAAGTTTTTAAGGCACTCGCCAAGGCTCGTGCCTTAAATTTTCTACTCGTGTCGTAAAGACTCACTTAACGCAATCGTTGCGTAAACTACTATTTCAATTCAATGAAACACATTGAGTACGTTTATTTACTATTTGAGTTTGTTTAAACATAACCCCCAAGACGAATCGTGTTAGTATGGTTGTATCTTAAATTTGTGTATTTATCGTTGTTTTTGTGTCGCTATGACGGATCGTGTTAGCATGATTGTAACTTAAATTTGTGCATTTATCGTTGTTTTGCGTAGCTATAATTTGTTTATTTGTTGTTTTTTTTTCTTTTAAATGCCTCCGACGCGACGACAACGAAACATAGACAGGAGGCGTAATCGTGATAACTACCGCAGCTACAGAACAGTGGCGCGTAAAGGTTTAGTAGTATGTTTTCTGTGTTTAACTCAACACAGTCAGCACCTGACCCTGGCCCAACACTACCCCAAAACGACTTTCCGTTCTCAATTGGCCAATCTGTCAATGACCTGTGTTGCCTGTACAGCAAGGTATTTTGAGAAGGAGAAAACCGGCCTGAATGCTTTAGGTTTATCAATAACGAAGATAAACTTTGTCTGAGTTAGCCTACACACCGGTAATCTTTGAGTTGACTCTTTTAAACTCATTGTAAATATGACTGCTATTCGTTTTGAAATAAATCATGTAACACTTTGCAATTGCTCGAATTCGAGCAACATCTACACTAGTATATAATAATTTTATTTTATTGACTATTTTAGCAGTCAATAAAATAAAATTTTTATATATTGGCCTTGTTGAACTTGTAAATTTAATTATACATTTCATTATGCATTTTATATTTAACGATTCAAAATTTAAAACAAGTACTCAAGTATGCTATCAAATTTTAGATTAGATTTTGTATGTAATGTTTAGGCTTCTTTAGTCTGCTCCTAATTTTTACCTTAATGATTAACTAATTTTTATACTACCTGTTTATAGGGTATAGACATCGCCAGAACGTATACGAAGAAACCAAGAAAGCCAAAAAGCTGACCCTCCTTTTTATACCTTAAGTTTTAAATATTTTCAGTATTACCAGATTATTTTGAAAGTTATCTTGATTTATACCACTGTGTTCCTTGTTTTATTTTCTTATTTTAATAAAGCTTTGTGGATATTTAGTTTGTCTGTAAACTTATTCCCGTTTTTAATTTTTGATGTAAAAACTGATAAGTTCTGGTTGGCTGGAAATCTTTTATCTGATATATCACTATCATGATTATTTTGTCAACAATATCGATCAGTGTCAGCGGACATGAACTATATCCGAAAAACGAGCTTCAAAATTTACACTGGGATGAAAAGTCTACATGTGTTGGTTAGTCTATTTCTTACGTTTTCTGTTGCGCAAAACATTGTTTAGGATTGTTACCACTCAAATAATTATACAAAACCTTTCGTAATAAAATGATGCTATATTTGAAATTAACAGATGTAATGATGTAATAAACGTTTGTACAGTATCTTTTAGATTGCAGTAACTCTGATATGATCAATAATGAGTGAGGAGTTTTCTTCAGTCCATGTTGCCTTCCAGTTTTCTCTGTCTTGCCACAGTTTCAGCATCGCCTGAAATAATGTTTCATGATAATTATAAGTAAAGTTTGTGATCCTATTTTTAACTGAAATTTTAAGTTTTTTGGTGTGGAGTAATACTAATTAGGTTCAGAGTATCATCCTGAGGGGTCCAGATCTCAGTTACTGAAAATCGGCCTGTCTTAGTTTTCCAGGTATACCAGTATAGTATATTTTGTATGCAATATCGTACTTTTATTCTATAGGAAAGCCTAGTGACTATAAAAAATTGACTAGATGGGAACTGTTTTAAAAAGAGATGGAGTCTAGCAATCTAACCTAACAAAAAGAGTCCAAGGGCTGACAAAAACACAGATAAAAGATCACCAAACATCCTAATATAGCTTATCTTTGTTTTGTGATCTTTTATTTGTGTACTAGCAGAGTACCCGTCCTTCGTACGGGGTTGGCATATAAGTTCGTAAAATGCTTATTGCAGTTATACTCAAGCTTTGCGTTTGCAATTGGGGAGGACAGATTTAGATTAAATTTGCTTCTTTAAATTTACAGTAAACTATGGTATTACTCATCTACCATAGCCATAATGTTCTACCTCTTCACCTAAACAATAAAACAATTATAAAAAGTTCTCAAAAAATCACAAAATATTAGCGACATTAAAAACATAAACATAACTGTAAACAATCCTACTTTGACAGTTCTCATTGCGTATCACAGTTTTTTGTTGCTGCTTAGTTCAAATTAGCTGTTAACATAAATGCAAAAAAATTATAGTGCTGCACCCTGTTGGTAAATCTTATAACTTTTTAATGCTTTTGCATATCATGGAATCAACTTTCTTAGTTGACTGAAACAGCTGACTAAATGTTTAATTCCCTTTAAATATGAACGAGGTGTTAGCCCGTCCTACGTACGGGAATTCAGTAGTCAGTTAAAACCGTGTACAATTCAGATCAGCTAGTTTACACATATAAAGACAAAGTTTCTTGCAGTTTTAATGTGAAAAATCATATTGTAAACAAATGTTGTGTGACCAAATATGTTTTTATTCCATCATAGGCCTACACGATATGCATTTTAAATCCGATAATTTTACAATAAAACAGCAATTCTGCAATTTTTACGATGTGAAGAGTGTTGAAGTGAGATTTGCAGCCGATTCGCACAGACGCACACTGATTATAAGTAGCCTACAGTAGAGACCGTAATAGTCAATTGAGAAGTGTATAGACCTAGTCAACGATACCACCTTCCATAGCATACCTGCCTCTTCCATAATTATTATCACCACAATACAACTACTATACACAATTTCCAGTAGGTCTGAATAGAAACGACCTAAAATAAAACGACAATATCCAATAAAATTTACAGTACACATAATTTAACTTAGGTGTCCTAACATCAAAACTAATCGTCACACCTATCCTTTATATCAATTTCAGGGTCGCCGGAATTTTATACCCCTGGAATTTTACCCCCTGGGCAAAGCTGACGTCACTATGACGTAGTAAGCTGAGTGGCCAAAAGTTTGTTCGCTCCGGAATTTTACCCCCGCGGATTTGGAAGTCTAATGAAAATAGCCAGAGCGTGATTAATTAGATTAGCGATAAAAACCGGAATTTTACCCCCTGTCCATATAACTAGCGTTTAGACAACTGAAGATGTACGGGCCGGATTTTTACCCCCGGAATTTTACCCCCGGATTTTTACCCCCGGATTTTTACCCCCTGGAATTTTACCCCCTGGCCAATTTTAGAAATTGAATGATTGATTTTCTTATTTCTGTTTTTAATTAATTGTAAACATTTCATTATTTAGTCACCTATCTTTATTTATTTATTTTGTAATCTAAACTAAGTAAACAGAATTCGCTGTTTAATTTTGATGTTCGGGATTTGCGTTTGTTGGGGCCGTCTGTTGGTTAATAAGTATGTAAAATAAACTGAGTAGCTCATTTAAATGATAATTGGGTGAACATTTATTCATAAAAAAACAATAAGGCATATTTTGTTATTGTTACAATACAAATGAAAAACATTGTTTTACCACGGTTGTATAATAAATCTTCGAATTAATTACCATTCTGATGTTTGTTTATACGTCATATTAATCAACAGCTGGCTTCAAAGATCGAATCCTGATACTCGAATCTCAAAATTAAAATTAAAAACCTGTTCGATTAGTTGATGTTACAAATAAATTAAGATAGGCTACTTCACGTTGACTGCGCGCGCCGACTTTACAGGCGCTCCCCAGTGGCGGAAGCCCCGGCGCGCAACCGAATCAGCGAACGCAATTGGCATTCAAATATTTCAGTCTGACGAATCACAAAAGAGCAGTGGTGACTGTGCTGCGTTACCCCGAGAGTGGATGTAGTTCACTGAAACACCCAAAGGTAGCAGCACTGCACGGATCCGTATCCAGTGTCTTTGTAATGTGGGTTGAAGAGAAAAAATCCCCGAAACCGGGACAAAAGCATTGCCAGACAGGATTTTACAGGAAATTTTAGTACCAACCTACGCCAAAGTAAAGCTCGCATTCTAAGCTGGCAGGCTGGCAACGATTATAACGTCTCCGTCTGAGGCTAAGCTCACACTGACTCAATATATTTCTGTTGGTCTGGTGCGCGCCACCTGGGAGCGCTGGCAACGCCGACTAAAGTCGGCACGCGCAGTCAACGTGTTAATTATAAAATGTTTACTATTAAATTAAAAGAGAATGAAGATAATTAATCATTCTCACTAATTTATATGTCTGGCCAGGGGGTAAAATTCCGGGCCGTACACTTTAGGTTTTTATAATTTCATGTATTCTGATTAAATTCACAACTGTGAAAATATATGTTTAATACCGCGTTTAATCCATCGAGCTGATGTCGCGAAACTCACAAGTTCGCGGCCGGAATTTTACGTCACGTTGAAAAAAAGGAAATCCACAAACATAGGGAACTACAGAGCCACTGGGGCGGAGCCCGAAAGGATTTTTGAGAAAAATATGCTTATATGTTAATATGGAATGTGAGTTATCATCATGCCAAATTTCAGCCCAATGCGTCCAGTGGTTTATGCGTGATTGAACTTCAAACAAACAAACAAACACACAAACTTTCACATTTATAATATTAGCAAAGATTACATATGCTAACGCAAAATAGATATTGCAGCCAAGCCTTTTTTGTGAAATCAATTTCCATGCGAAGCCTAGCGAACGTCTTCACAACCTAAGACTTCATTGCCGACATTACCAGCTGCTATTTACGTATTTTTTGTTGTTGTTTATTGTTATGGTTAACCTTTATTTTGTGGTTGTTTGCTTAATTTAAATAACACGAGGTTTATTAGAAGATGGATTAGCAAGAGTGAAGAAGTGTTAGTATTATGTGTTGAATTACAATCGTATTATGATGTAGATATTTTCATGAACAATACCAGGTATTAAGACGAGTGTATGTTATAAATGGCAAACACGGCAATCAAAAAACGGAAAGGTGGCCTTCCCGACACTGCTTTACATTCAAGTTTATAGTGTGTGAACTGCATTTTGAACCTAACTGCTTTATAAATAATATGAGAAGTAAAAAGGAAGCTGTACCAACATGACTAGTTATGTACTAACAAACTATCAATGTACACCAGTTGTCACTCAGCAGTCTGCACTCATTACTGCCTCTGCAGACGATCACCACCATCTCGCGGCAGCCCCTTCATCACATAGCGATCAACGAAGACTCAGAGGGAAATAAAGTATCCTAGGCTATATATTTATGGTGTTCAATTTTGGAGAGGGGTGGTTAGGCAATTTCTGATCCAGGGCGCTCCAATCCAAACCTGGTTACGCCATATACAATGCCTTGATGTTGATTCAAGAACTTATCATGAATACTGGGAATGCGAACGAAATCCCTGTTGTAAAATGTAGTTACAGGCTTCCAGTACAAAGTATTCGACCTATTGTTTAAAATAATGTTTAAAACAGGCCATACAAAATTGGGATGTCGGGTCAATTGGGTCGGTTCACTTTCGTGTGATTGCGAGAGTGTGACTGACCTCCAATTTCAAACCTAAATATCGTTTTTACGTGGTAAAGATAACCTCTTTAATTTATTAATTTATGTACAACTAAGGTTCTGCTGTTGTTAAGACTATGTGTTCTTAAATTTATTTTACATAGTCGTCAGTTGAAAGATTTGTTACCTATATAAAAAAATCCAAATCTAAAATCTATATTTTATATCTTATCCTCTACATTTTCTTCAAAGCTCAGTTGCAAACGGCACTTACAAAACACCAATAAAAAATAGATTCACAAACATCAGTTACGGCACGTCACAGTAAAGTCACTTCAGGCACGTCACAGTTAACAAAAATATTCTTTGATGGATTTTCTATTGCGCTATCTACACTCATCCGTTGCAGTCCCGTCAGTCACTCTGCTGGCATCTGTCAGTCAATTTCAGATTTCTTTCCAACGATACTTTTTGATTGTTCGGACGCCTGACGGAACTGTTTGAGGTTAGAAAATAGTGTTATTGTTATTGCGTTTGTATTTTGAGTACTGTTTGTAACAATCAACAAGATGGACAATGATAATTTGATAGAATATATGTTTATAACTTTAAAATTTTGACTATAAATTACTGTGAATTTTAGAGACGGAAGACTGACTGAAACCAACTGACGGACAATTGACTGAGAAATTACGGATGCAACTGTGACTGGACTGTAACGGAACTGTGACTGGACTGATGTGTGTGAATCGACCTTAATGTGACGAGATAATACGTAGTTTGAAAACAAATGCCGATCTGTGTAGATAAATGTTCTTCTTACAAACTATGTTTAAAAAGTCAAGTAGCCAGTGAATGGTTAGGTAGTAGTTGACTAACCATACATTCCTCATCGTGAATTAGTAGCAAGATATTGCGTGAGTCTAGAAATCCGGAAGCGAACTTTGTGTATAAAAATTCCGAAAACAGAAAAGTGAGAAAAGTCGAAGAACTTACAAACAGTCACTAATTATTAAAACTTGTAAGAATTATAAATTTCTACATTGTTAAGGGTTCTCTAAATGTACGTAAAGTTCAATGTAGATAAACTAGTATAACATTGTAAGCTCATTATATCACTGTGACTGCAATTTTTGAAGATTTTTATTAATTCAATAATTCATGTTTATATCAGTTAACCTTAAGTATCCTTTAGCTTTTTGTTACATGGTCACTTTAATTTTGAAGTAAATAACTGCAATTTTTGTAAAGATTAAAATTATGGTACATTAATGACAGCTGTGTGCTTTCAAACTGGAGATACGATGACGACGGGTCGGCGAGCGCGTTGCGTACAGGCAAGTTAATCCCGAGCACGCGAACATTACCGAACTCACCCGAACTTGAATCGGTAATGCAGATCGAGACTTGACACAGCGCCTCTGTTGAGGGACCACCCAACTACGTGAAGGTGGCCCCGTCCAAAAACGACTTGGCACAAAATCGCCGTAAGCTGCAATATCTATTATGCGTTAGCATATGTAATCTTTGATATTAGTAAGATTTACAATTAACTCTATTGTTATCAAGCTAGCTGAATCCTGCACCTCTTCTAAATAATTCCTAAACAGCCACTGACTTAGTAATCAAATCAAATCAAATCATCTTTATTCATTTTTTGTATTTATGAATACTGAATAGAGTCAAATCTTACAACTAATGTCCTTAATTAAAATATGATGGTTACAAATAAAACTGTTTTTATGTTGTTGTATGACAATTATTACAGTAATACATTTTTTTTTATTTGATATTCCTTAAATTAAAAAAATCTTTACTTACTTCCAACTTACTTACTTTAATCAAATCAAATAGATCAGGGACCAAACCAAATTTGTCCCTTTTCAAATTTATTTTTAGTTACAACAATACCTAGTACAACAATACATAGTTTTACTACGATACCTTAGGATCTGTGTTCTTCCAAGGTTTGGGCCGGCCTTTGTTGATACAATCGTCAGGGAAATCTCTAGCATTGCCTACTGATAGTCCCAAGCTGATGTAGAACTAAAAAATCATTTATTTTAATAATATATTTAATTGTTAAACTAATTTAACTATTAGCTTTTTACTAATAGGTGTTCTGTAATGGGTTGGAAATGAATAATAACAATGATAATAAAATAATCATTTGTAACTACAATAACTCATAACCTTACTTGAGATTTGTCATCCCTATGGATCAGGTGATAACCATTTTAATGTTAGTTCTTTCCAGTTCCTCTAGTGGTGTTTTTGTTTACAATTTGTTTCTTGTTATTTCGATACTAGTTTAACCAAATAAAACAGTCTAACTATAAAATATAGCTCGTCCTCTGACTTTTATCACCAAAGTATATCACAAATCATCAAATAAACCCTAAAATTAAAGAATAAAATGTTTTTGACGCTAGCGCTCAGTGTCACTAATGAAACATAAACCAGACTTTAACAGGTTCAGTCCCAGCCGTCACACTCCTCCGTATGTAAAGCTTCTCACCACACAGGAGTGAGTGTGTTAAAATGAGCTATTACATGAGGATTATTACTAATGAGGATATTACAATGGGAAGAGAAGTCAACTTTAGTTACGTAGTCTATGAGGGTGCATAGTTCAAGTCAAGTTTAAGTGAATGGAACATATCAGGGCTACAGATATACAAGGGCTAGGCCACGCGAGCTCAGAAAGTGATGCCAGGTGGCTCCCCACCACTCCGCTGCTGTGACGTCACGGCGATACCTCGGGCTCCCGGTACCGTATAGCTTTGCCTAAGTGAGCGCTGATATTGCCGCACATTTAGTGTCGAATAAGCACTATGTTGCAAATTTTTTATTAGGTATTACTGTATTTAATAAAAGTAATTGATTTTCAAATAGGATTACGTATAATACCAATTCTAATAAATAAAGAAAGTAACTTTAGTAGATATTTAAGGATGGGAGTGGACGGTAAAGCGATGGTTAAGAATACTGTACTTATTGATCCGATACATTAAGTTATGTTGTAATAACTGTTTTATTTATTTATCCATCCCAACTTTAAGAACTCATTTCGGTTATGTAAAGTACATTGAAGTTGTATGAAAATAAATTATACTGAGTATTTTGTAACTATTGCAGGAAGTAAAAGAATTTAAATTTATCTATTGCATTTTATTATACATATTTCAATACATTAAAATAAAGTTGTCTGACTAACTAACCTCAATCTCTGTTGACCAACTAGTTCAACAAGTCTAAAAGTTTTGGTGTGATTTTACTTTATCAGTTTACATCATGATTATAGGTTGTAAATTTGTAAATGTTTAGTTTGGATATTTTTTATTCTACTGCCTTGTCTGAAATGCGACATTACTTTTATAAACTTGAGACACTATTTTTAGCCGGCTTTTGTGAACTTTATTGACTGTTTACCAACAAAAAATGTCGCGGGTGTGATTTTATCATCATATTATTTATCATATTTATTAGTTGTAAATTTGTACATATTTAGTTTGTATACTGTTTTATGTGGATATACTTACAAAATGTGTGGTCTGGGACATTATATTTAGCCTGTTTTTGATAAATTTCGTCCGTCATAATAAACTAACTGATCGCCACATGAAAAAGGCACATAGAAGCATTTTATAGAATAAAACTATAAAATATTTATTTATTTATATTTGTCTTAATAACCGTATATATTCATGTAGGGAAATAAGTTTACTTTCATTTTATATAGTTGGTATGTGGGTTTCATGTGTTTGAAAAATAATATACATGTGTCAATAACAAAATTTCTTTATGGAAAAATATAAACATTTATTAAAAGTCATAAATCTTTATTCAAATGATCATTTTCCATGAACAACTCTTACTTCATTCGATCTCCAATATTACTGCCTTTACAAAAATGTATACTTTTACTTTATCTCTTGATAATACATTTATTTGGCTTTTGTTTGAAATTTGTTGTGCAAAATCGTGAAACTTGTAATTTTATTGTTTTTGGACCATAACTTTGTACAAATAAATGGTAGGCCTAGTTAGAATATTTTTACATTTTCATGTAGGAAAATAAATTCCAAACAATTTGTTTATCTTAAAGTTTACAGGAAACATATTTGGTTCATGCAGCACAGTTTTACTTCAAAAATTTAAAAATAAAAAAATTTTCTTTTCTACCTAATGTCAATATTCTCTACAATATTCAAAATATTTATTTTGTTGTCATTTTCCAATTCTTAATTTCATTACGAAAATTTCAAGTATACGGGCCTATAGGTTTTGTCTGTTGGTTTAGTTTATATGAAATTTCGAATATATGACTACAAAATCGCCAAAAATGTCTTGCCACTTCACAGTTCACAGTTCACCCATTGCCAGTTGGAGGGTTAACGAAATCCGCTTTAAAAATCCCATTATAAAACTACATTGTTATAAACACAATTTTTAATATGTGCGTAGATGCTGGGTGACATATGCACTGCCGTGCTAGGCTACCGTCGCCGCTCGCGCCGATGTACCAGCGCTAAGGAGGGGCGGGGGAGGGGAAGTAGGATCAGACGGCGACCGCTAACATCAAAGGAGTGAGCCAGCCCTTGTATATATGTAGCCCTGGGAACATATGGCTGCTTTATCTTTGACTAGGATCAGCTGATTGATTTCCTTGAACCACTAAAGTCAAAAGCATTCAAAAAGAGTACACAAAAAGAATACACAGGGGATAGCGGTATGTGGTTTGATAGTAGTCAACTCCGTTATTCATTTTATATTTTTTTCCATTTGAATCATATTTTTTTAGTTCTGTTGATTACATTGGTTCAAACAAACTTTAAAAGCCTTAGACTAGGCTATGGGTTAAATTTAACTATACCTCAAAAACGTTTCTCAAAAACAAATAATTTTGAAATTACATTTAGGCTACTAACATTAAATAACATGCAGCTTTGATTTTTAAATCTATTAGTTGGCCAAATAAAAATATCAACGCAAAACTCTTTACTAATAACCATTCAAATTTCAACTCACGTCTTTATCAAAAGGTGCAATTCTGGACCCCGCACTCCAAGTAAGACATTCGTCGGTTTTAAATCCAATAACTTCACAAAGTCTTCGCCCTGCTGGGAGAAGTTCTTGAGCATCTTCATTGTCTATCTTGAAAGAAATAATATCTGTAAACAGCAACAAAAACTGGTCAACCACATGTTGGGGAGGGGTTAAGTATCCAAGTTTTATAAGTTGACGTGACTTGTATGCAATAGTAGTTTACGCAACAATTGCATGGAGATAGAGTTAACGACACGAGTAGAACATTTGAGGTAAGAGTCTTGGCGAGTGCCTTAAAAACTTCTACGAGTGTTTTAAACACTATTTGTGCAAGTTGAGTACACAAATTTACCTACGACAGTGTTTTAATTACTAAAAATCACTACTCATAACTTCTAAGAGAGGTTATGTTTTCATTTATAACCTCCATTGCCACTTACAGTGATGCAACGAAACATTGCACCAGTCAATAATTAAACTGGCGTGAACAGCTGATTAGTTGAAGCACAGAAAACATACTACTATAACCCAGAATGCCAACCGCATGGTAAAAAGCATTAAGTGTTTTGAGAGAGCTTTGCCTGTCAATCGTAGGCAGTGCCACCAGCGTTGCTATGCTGAGTGCATGGCAACGCTGGTGGCGCTGCCTACGATTGACAGGCAAAGCTCTCTCAAAACACTTAATGCTTTTTACCACGCGGTTGGCATTCTGGGTTATAGTAATATGTTTTCTGTGGTTGAAGTTTGAATCATTACAATTTTATTTCCTTTTTTTCAATCCTTGAACCTTATTGGTCCGTTACCGTACCGTTATGTCTGTTTCTGTTATTTCTAATAGCTGGTTATTACACCAATGGAAAGGACAAGTTAAAAGTTTGTTTTGACAAGGTTATGTTTTGTTGTAGTTGCATAGTTGAGTACCATGAGGCCTGTCAACAAAATTAAAGAATACCAAAAACAATCAAAGCTATTGTGGTAAAAATCTGTGTGTTTTGGTTTGTCGGTATGCATCAAATGCTTGTAATAACTGCAGTTTGTATAGGTTTCGTCTCAAAGGCTTGCGTAAAACCGTGGACTGCAGTATGTGAAGTTCCCTAACAGCTTTGACTGTCGAGGTTTTTGGACTTAGCGCAAACTTAGCTTCGATTCTTTCAACAGTGTCTGGCGGAGTGTGAGGATAGCCCGAACTCTTCATGGCACATAATCATCCAGTTGTCTTTAATTTCCTTATCCAGCGAGCTATGCAGTTCCGATGAGGAGCCTCCTTCCTAAATTTAGTCCGAAAGTTCCGCTGAACACTAAACAAAAGCATTAGTACAAGCAAAGTCTAAAACATAAAACGCTTTTTCTTGTTTTGTAGTGGCCATTTGGCAGGCTTTGTGGTACTCAACTAAGCAACTGAGACAAAAAATGATCTTGTCAAAACAAACTTATAAACATGCCTTTCCATTTGTGTAACAATCAGCTGTTTGAAATCATGGAAACGGACGTACCAACCGTTTAGTTTTGCACCATTCTTTTTTAACAACCCTGTACACTAGAGGCAGGTAGCTTTCTCCATAACCTGTCTGCTCACTAGCTTTAGCCTTGTGTAAACGCAGCTTAAACGAGGTTTGAAGACGTACTGGGCATATTTTTGCTCAAATATGGCACTTATATTGTAAAGTTGAGTGAGATGCCTTATTTAGCCTTAAGATTACATATTTCTTAGCTAGGCGACCACCTTGCGGTTGATTAATCATGGGTACTTTTTTGTTGGATATTCATTGAATTTGAATGCCAATCATCAAGAACCACTGTCCACTTTCAATCTATCCACACACCATTTAAGGGCTTCTATTATAGAAGGCTATGTCTAAATGTTTCATTGAAATGTTTGTTAACATTTTTACCTGGTGACCAAACAAGGGTATAGTTGTGGAAGTGGTCGTGCCAGTTTTCTGGTAGCTTTGTAGTTAATGATCGCTTCTGTACATTCTGAGATCCCATCATTACGCCCGACTCTAGTCTGTGTGATCCAAAGTCTTCTCCTCGACACTTGAAATCACTGTTTCCTCTGTGCATAGCAATCCGTATCCTTCCTGAAGTGTAACCCGGTCCATAGAAGTGGTTTCTAGGCTCAAGCCAAAGTTCTGAAAAACGTCACTATATTAATGAACAAGATTTTCACATTGCTTAGAAACATAAAATTTGGATGTTAATTTGGATAGGAACACATAGTATCGTGCTCAGTTACTTGTCATATATGTTTTTCCAAAGAGTTTTAAGATTTTGTTTGTTAACTAATAAAATAAGCTTTAATATTTTCCCTTAATTTTGTAAAAGGTAAAAAAGCTTATTCCCTATATGGAATATTTTCTCAAATGGAGAAAACATGGTTAAATTTGCTGTAACTCAATAAATTTATATTACAAATATATGAATCGAATAACTAAATAAAAATTAGTGACTTACCAGGAACAAGCCAGTCTCCAAGCGGTAGTTTGGCTCTTATCTCAACAATTCCATAGCGAAAAGAGAAAGAATCTCTAGTATGGATCCTGGCAGATTTGACTGGAGGTATAATGTTGTAAGATGAAGCTTTTAACTCACACTGTCTTGATCCTACTCTTCCTGTGCACCTGAAAAACAATTAAGAATAAATACTTGTTTGTGAAATAAGATACATTCTACTATTTTGACTACTAGCTAGACTGGGACGGTGGCGCCATCCTGTAATCCAACTACTACTATTCACAATTACCGTGACCACGAATTGTGGAAATTTATAGGCATGCATTGTCGATGCGATACTCCTTTGTGTGGATTAACGTCCGCACTAGTGGGTACTACGACTATCCGCAGTACTATCCTGATAATTATACCAATTTGTTAATATCAAGGCAAAAATGTGGTTTGGATTCCACTATAAACTGTAGGTCCATTAGTTGCCATTAGCTGTATGGGCTATTAATTAATAACTATGTCTAAGGAATATGTCGGCCTTAGTCACTAACTAGACTATAAGATCGCACCACTCATCCTACACTCATCTCCATTATTACTTGGCTTAAAATACCTAATTTGTATGGTTGCCATTTCAAAGAAAAAGCATTTAAAGTTTAAACTTCCTGGATATCCAGGAAGACCGTTTTCAAAACCCCACCATAAGCTAACGTCGAGGCAATTTGTTGTGTGATAATGCAGTGACCTAAGGGCTGGAGTCTCTCACTTGGGGTTTGGAGGGGTTACACTGTAGGTCTACTTAAAGAGAAAACTATAGGTATCTTAGTCTGAACAGTCTATATTGAAGATCTCCTTTCACAGCTATATGAAATATGTATGTAAAAGGTGGCAATAAAGAACAGATAGGCTAGCTTTGATTTGAGTAGTAGAGCTCGTGCGTTTCCTGGTGAAGCCTGGGGGTAGGGTTGAAGTCCATACAATACCGGTTCAGAGTCACTCTAACCACCTACCCCCCAGGCTTCACCAGGAAACGCACGAGCTCTATAAGTGGTAGAAATGGAGTGTAAGAGTGAGAGATCTTGAGAAAAAAGTGCAGCTTTTTAAAGGTTCAAAACTGGACCCAGCCGTCCCTTGTAATAAATGGTCCTGGCTGATGTAAGACAAATAAACGGTATCAGCATTCTGACACATACTTTCTCCCATAAGTTTGTCAACAACCTCATATCCGGAAATGCGATTTGTACAATTTCTTTCAGAATTTAAGGACTATAACATACTACATTTTTATCAAAATTGTTCATGCCATTTTTGGGAAAATCCGATTTTCTGTTATTTTATGGGGTTTTTATGGGGAAAATAACATAATTTACAATAAATTTTGAACCGTAATTTTTACAGGAATGGGATTTGTGCCGTTTTCTTCAGAATATAAAGGACTATAACATACTACATTTTTATCAAAGTCGTTCGGGCCATTTTTGGGAAAATCCTAATTTTCCGTTATTTTATGGGGTTTTTTGGGAAAATCCCCATTAAAAATTTTGACAAAAACAATACGGTACTTTCTCCATATACTATGGTATAGGGGGAGAAAGTAAAAATGAGCTAGAGCTTTTGATGACTGATTAAAGAAGCATTCAAAGTGTACTCATGATTAATAATTGAATATTCAAAATGATTAATTACCCATTTAAATTCAATGTCCCCGATTGAACAAATTCATCATCGTAGAAAGTAGGTTTGATTTCCAATCTGTTCCTTGTTGTAAAACTATTTGCTGGATCAGAAGTAAAAACAGCAAATTCAAATTCCTGCAAAAGAGAAAAAACAATATCAGCGCTGTTTTTTACCCATGTTGTTCAATGGATAATCTTTGGAAAATATACAGCACTGAGAGTCCCTTAAGTAATGTACGCAGCTCAGTGAAATGGTCCATTAGATTGATATTTAAGAATAAACCTTCTTCCCGTTTACTAGATGTATATTTTTTTATCCCTGAAATTTTCAATCCATATTGATAAGGCTCAATATGTGTCTTGAGGTGGTAAAATTAATTGAAAAAAGGTTCTCAACAATTTTTTAAATGACCGAGAATTCGGGAAAAAATTAAAAATACAACAATTTTAAAAAGCCCAACCAACTCAAACCTATGTTGAAAATGCCCTCAGTGGACGATAGTGAAATATTAATACTCTTATGTCTTGTGTACTGTATAAAGTTTTGTGTTTCTTGTGATTGATTGAACTCTTTCTTATTCAGTTCATATTTCTATTCCCCCCAAAAAAATTGTATCAAGACATACTGAAACAAACGCTTTCTTGTTCCATGTTATCCATGATTTGCATTTTTGTTTACAGTTTAAACAATTTTTTAACTCCAAAAAATGTATTTTTCCAATGTGTGTTTGGATAGCTAATCTTGAATATAAAAAATAAACTATTTCGTACATTGCTTTCTGATTTTATATTTTTTACGTTAAATTTCCATCACTATGGACATTACTATGGCATTTGTGCAAGTTGAGTTAAATCATTTCGATAACCTGTTCTGAAAGTTATTTTATTAACTGGCTCTATGGTTTTTAAAACTTTATTTTATTTTACCTCCCCTGTAGCACTAGAGGAGGATGTCACTGTTTCCGAATCAGGAAATTCAAAACATGTGTTTTCCTTTGAATCTCCTGCTTCCTCTTTCTCAAGCTCATCTATAGTTTTACTAATTTTACTCCTTGCAATGACTTGATGTGTAACACTTAGTTTATTCATACGTGAAGCTATTGATTCGCCAAAAATACTGTTTACATCCTTAGGTTCTACTCTATCCACAAAAACTCCCAGGACTTCGACTGTCTCTTCAGCAGTGAGAATGGGGTTATCTTTGTTAAAATCAGAGAATCTCTTTCTTTTGTTAGTGGGTATTCGAATGTCAATTTGCGGTTCTAGATTTTCCTGAAACAAAAAAAGCTTATGCTAAAATTATTTTTTCTTTTGGTGAAGGTTGTATGAACGTAGAAAAGTGTCTAAAAAACATTTTTGGTTGTTTTAGACAGCTGTGTGCTAGCTGTAGCTGATTTTACTACACTATGTGTTGGAGTAACTAATACTCTACTAATTTAAACAGTTTTTGTGTTGCAACAGTTTTAAGTTTATAAAAATGAAAATTAAATTAATTTATCAGTTGCACTCAAAGTAGCACTACCCAAAAGAGCTAGGACAAATAATAAATTATGCTGATGATTACAATGAGTTAGTTTTTACTTTCTCCCCTTACACCATAGTACAAGGGGAAAGTATTGTTTTCGTCAACATTTTTGAGTTTTGATATTCGTTTTGGGCACCCCTGAACCCAAAAAAGTGGTTTTTGAAGTGATGTTTGTCTATCTCTGTATGTGTGGATGTGTACAGAGCTACACGTCACACCTGTGTCTGATTTTGATGAAATTTGATTCGTAGGTACCAATCCATGGTATCTCCAGGCATTATTATTATTTTTTTAAATTTGTATTTTTAATGATGATTTTTCCATGAAAACCAATAACGTAACAGAAAAATTAAATTTTCTCAAAAATGGCCTGAACGATTTTGATAAAAATTAATCATGGTATAGCCTAGTCCTTAAAATTGGAACAACTCTCATTGTTTTACAAATTACGGCTCAAGTAATTACAATCTTGATGATTTTCCCTATAACAAATCATAACTTTCCACTGCTTACCCATGATACATGTTGTTGACAAGCCAATAGGAGAAAGTATGTTTAGGATTGCTGATACCATTTATTTAAATTTAATCTCACAAAGTAGTGAATTTCTTTAGTGATTAACATCCGCACGAGTGAGTACTACGACTACCCGCAGTGCTATCCTGATAATTAGACCAATTCGTATATACCAAGGCAAAAAAATGTGGTTCGGATTCCACTATAAACTGTAGTGCCTTAGTTGCCATTAGCTGTATGGGCTATTAACAGCTGTGTCGAAGGAATGTCGGCCTTAGTCACTAACAAGACTACAAGATCGTGCCACTCCTACACTCATCTCCATTCATACTTGTCTTAAAATACCTACTATGTATGGTTGCCATTTCATAAAAAGTATTTAAAGTATATATTATAAGTATTTATGATTTCGTATTAAAAAGATGCTATACCATTACCAAACGGCATTACAACACAAAAGTAAATACTTTACCTAGACCTGTAATTAAAATAAGTGCTAAGATGAAAATAGGTCAAAGATGTACTGCAATTTCATAAATTACTTTTACAAGTTTGTTGGGATGACCTTGCAAATTTAAGTTAATTTTTAGCGGCAAAAGTTGAATAATTATGTTAGGCTATCCTTAATACAGTAAGAAATAAATTTGTATGCAGTGAGATAAATTTTGATCTACTGACCATTGTTCAGTTCAGACCTACTGGTAGCATTTACAAGGTAATGTATGCTACGCAAAGTATGTTCATGTTGACATGGAAATTCAATCACGGGTTTGGGAACTAGGAGTAGAAAACAACCTGTTAAGAAAACGCAAATTTCTGGCCGCGCAGTGCAGTTATAATCATAAAAGAGGTACTAGTGTGTTCTATGTTTGAAGATTTTTACCTGAGGAGAGTCCGGTATCATTATGACATGGCTCCAAGTGTTGCCTAAGTGAGTGTTAAAGTCCTCTTCAAACACTACATCTCCTCTGCAGATAGAGCTTTTGTCTGGCACAATCGTTTCCGAGGGAATACAAGGCCTCTTGGTGGTCGGCTGGATAGGGTCCACTGGAAACATACCACCAGTAGAGTTGTAGGATAATATCATCATGTATTTGTCTAGGATGTGAAGTTTAAACTTAAGAGGCAGCGGGAGCCGGCTTGATCGGCCTCACTGCAGGAGCAGGATCAGCAGGAGGAGGAGGTGGTGCAAAGACTCGATCCACTAGCGAACTAACAGCCAACCCAACACCTAAACCTACTAAAAATAAAGATAAAAGCCTCATTGCATCACTTAGTATCAAAAAATATAAATTTTTAACAAAAACTAGCTTTTGTTGGCAACCAATAATATATTGTCGGTTATCTTAGTAAAATAAGTAGTCAGTAATAGTCAGTTTCTCAGCACAACATTTCATAAATTACTTTATTTATCATTTGTTTAACAATATTAAAACCATGTGATACTTAATCTTCACAAATAAGCTATACAGCAGAAAAGATTAATCAATGAACATATACATATATGAAATCATCATCATATATATTAAAACGTGACAGTGTTTTTTAATTTCACGATTCTGAATCAACCACTTACTGTAACATGATTTTTGTGTTGAAAGAAAGATAATTTTGAGAACTAGGGAATGCCGAAGCCATCATTTTAGTTTAGGGTTTCAGTTTTTTAGAAATAAGGTTTTAAATTTTAAAAAGTCCAACAGCCGACGCTAACTTTCTACTCTAGCTTTTGGTTTTATACCTTTAATACTTTAATACTTTTTTATGAAATGGGGACCATACATAGTAGGTATTTTAAGCCAGGTATGAATGGAGAAGAGTGTAGGATGAGTGGCGCAATCTTGTAGTCATGTTAGTGACTAAGGCCGACATTCCTTAGACACAGCTGTTAATTAATAGCTCATACAGCTAATGGCAACTAAGGGACCTACAGTTTATAGTGGAATCCGAACCACATTTTTTGCCTTGGTATATAAGAATTGGTCTAATTATCAGGATAGCACTGCAGGTAGTCGTAGTACTGCTCACTCGTGCGGACGTTAATCCACATCAGGGAGTATCGCATCCACAGTGCATGCCTATAAATATCCACAATTCGTGACCTCCTAGTAGCTGGATTACAGGACGACGCCACTCGTCCCAGTAACAGCTATAAATATTCAGCGTTTTTGACACAAATTCAGCATTTGGATGAAAATTTAATGACATACGTAGAACTTTCTTATTTTTATACTATGTGTAATGCTATAATCATTGATACGTTAATTAATTCGGTAAGAGGATGAGAGTTTATTTAAATATACTAGATGTTCTAATTTATTGTTTTGAACAGTCTTTAAAATATTTAGTTTGTTTTAGTGCAATATAATTTGTTATAACTAATAACAGCTGGTTGACTGAAAAAATGTTCTATATAGAACTATGGGGATAGTTTATTTACTTTGTGATTTTGTCATTGATTATAAGAAATAAGTAAGACTAGTGGCTTGTAGGGTCATAGTCCCTAAAAAGCTCAAATGGAAAAGAAATTATTGTAATATTTAAACAAACTCAGAATCAAATTATCTATGCGCCAGGATAGATATCCCAGTACAACACATCTTTTGTGTAAAAAAAAAACAAACAAAAAAACAGTTTGTTGTTTGTCTTTGTTTGCTTTTGTTGATTTTATTTTCAATAAAGAATTTGAATGATTCCAGAGGTTTAACTGCTAATGGCAGCAAACATGTTTATGAATAAATATTGGTTTATTAAGGTAGCTTTGGTTTTTTTGTTAATGCTGATAAAAAGGTTTCCCCGATTGAAATACATTACTGTATTGAAAATTGTCTTCGTAAAATAAGAAAATGCAAAAAATGATGTGTTTAGATAAACTTATATTAGTTCTTGGTCAAAACCGCTAAATTAGCATTAATACCCTACCCAGTTATTATTTCTAAGTTATTATTTTTAAGTATATGCTCATTTTGTAAAGGTTAAACAAAATTAGTCTTAAGGAAAGGCATCCCATTGACAGAACTTAACCCTAAATTTGTTTCTGATAAACATTAAAAAAACCACTATTATAAAGCCTAGTGTATATGTGGTGGTAATCCTCCTAAAGGTGCGATTGATATACATATTCTACCAAAAAAGGGCCTAATCAACGTCTAATTACTAACTATTTTGTGACTGGTTAGGGTTCCATTACCCAGTTATCGAAACTAATCACGACATAATTATTTTTGGAAATTACCTCTTTGTTCTACTGTTATATATAGGTGCTCCCTTTACTACAGTGCTTGCTAGGCTATTATTTGAACCTTTTTTGCTTGGAGCAACAAAGTACTTAAGTACGGTACTTAATGAACAAATACCTGTACGAACCTACTTCATCTTTATTCCCAAACTAGTGTCCCTGTTGCTCGAATTCGAGCAATTGCTAAGTATTACAGGCGTTATTTTAAAACGAATAACAGTCATAATTTCTGATGACTTTAAAAGATTCGACTCAAAGATTTTGGAAATACTCATTATGTAGGTACATAACAGATCGATATAATCAAAATTTCTTAATATCTTACCATTTTTCAAAAGCTGGTCTTGTTTTATAGTGTTTTCTACAAATAGCCTTACTTATAGCCGCATTAGGTTGCCCATAATAACGATTATAAATTCTAAACAAAACACATTTCTATTTCTTCTCCTTGGTGGTGTTCTATGACTTTCCTATGTTTATGTTTCCATAGTTTGCACACCGGTTCTTTCAATGACTACTAAGAAATGCAGCACACTGTTAATTCAGTTATCTTTTAAAGATTTCAATTTATCCAGGCTCTCTCGCTTTTTTCCATTGTAATATTTAGCCAACCCAAATTCAAATAGTAAACATTTCATTTCAACCAAATCAGTAAATGTTTGTAGTAAACGGTTAAGTTAGGAAACGTATTGACTGTTTACAATTAACATGTGTTCTTCTTCTCACTTTTAATTTCTGACAACAGCTGGAGTTGCATAACACTTTTTGTTTCCCATGTTAATCTTATGGAGGAATACAAAACTCTAAAGGGCCCCAGGGCCTCACTTTCTAATTATTTCCCTAAAAAGAAAGTTTCCTGCACAATTTCACGTTGCGCTCTTTCCAATGAGACCAAAAACATGTCAATCGGTTCAGTAGTTTCGGAGGAGTAATTGTCACAAAAATCCTTCTTGCGTATTAAATAAGTACTAGTGTACATGTTGCTCGAATTCGAGCAATTGCAAAGTATTACAGGAGTTATTTTAAAACGAATAACAGTCGTATTTACAATGAGTTTAAAAAGAGTCAACTCAAAGATTACCGGTGTGTAACTCAGACCATGTTTATCTTCGTTATTGATAAACCAAAAGCATTCCGGCCGGTTTTCTCCTTTTCAAAATGCCTCGCTGTACAGGCAACACAGGTCATTGATAGAGGACCAATTGAGAACGAAAAGTCGTTTTGGGGTAGTGTTAGAGCGCATTTGTAACCTAATAGTTGAGATTGTCCAGGGTCAGGTGCTGACTGAAGCCTATTACGCGCCACTGTTCTGTAGCTGCGGTCGTTATCACGATTACGCCTCCTGTCTATGTTTCGTTGTCGTCGCGTCGGAGGCATTTAAAAGAAAAAAACAACAAATAAACAAATAATAGCTACACAAAACAACGATAAACACACAAATTTAAGTTACAATCATGCTAACACGATCCGTCACAGCGACACAAAACAACGATAAATACACAAATTTAAGATACAACCATACTAACAAGATCTGTCTTGGGGGTTATGTTTACACAAACTCAAATAGTAAATAAATGTATTCAATGCGTTTCATTGAAAAATAAATAACCATCGATCTCTATGAAAATAACAGCAATTAAATTATACAGCTGATCAAAATGTAAACAATTATGTTCTCCATAAGGATATCATGGGAACTTTCAAAGCCACTGGGGCAGAGCCCAAGGGACGCTTTCAAAAATGTAAGGCCAGTTTGCAAATCTAAGCGACACGCTCTTTCCAATGAGACGTCAATGGATAAAATCGGTTAAGAAATGGCGGAGGAGTTCAACCGACAAAGTTTCATGTAGCGTATCTTACTAATATTATAAATCTGAAAGTTTGTGAGTTTGTGTGTATGTTTGTGTGTATGTTTGTGTGTGTGTTTGTGTGTGTGTTTGTTGCTCAATCACGCATAAACTACTGGACGGATTGGGCTGAAATTTGGCATGATGATAGCTCACATTCCCGATTAACATTAAAGCATATTCTTATCTCAAAAACCCTTTCGGGCTCCGCCCCAGTGGCTCTGTAGTTCCCCATGTTAATCTTATGATTTTTCATATTCAAAAGGAATTAATGAATCTTAACAGCTGTTTCAATTATACAAGTTGGTTCTGTCCTATGATGTTCAATAGCATAAACGTTACCAGGATTACCAACAGGGTGCAGCACTATTATTTATTTTTTTTTTATTTATGACAACAGCTAATTTCCAACCAAAAGGTGAGTGAGCGTAGCGAACGAACTTCAACCTGGAGGTGAGTTAGCGTAGCGAACGAGTTAACCGAACGAGCTCCAACCTAAAGGTGAGTGAGCGTAGCGAACGAACTTCAACCAGGACGTGAATGAGTCATGCGAATACTTATGAAGTTAAACGGTGCGAAGCCCGCGGGTACAGCTAGTTAATTATATAGATAGAAGATTGTTTTCTAAGAGTAGCTGTTGAGGTTATTCCACTTCATACAAAATATTGATTAAAAACTACAATAAATCTCAAATATAAAAATGTTAGTAAATGTAATGGAATGACATGTGATTTAGTAATTATTTGTATGTTTACTCATATGACTATGGTTACCAGGGGTTACTATGTTGTTGACTTGTTTTGAAGTGAGTTGTTAAGTTAGTTGAATGTTGAATAAAAGTTCTTAGAAGAATTTGTTTTATTCTATCTTTACATGGTGGCAGCGTTTAGACTGAAGAAGAATATTTTAAAATGGAATTGACACCAGAATTACTGAAAAATATATTAAACTCTGTTCTAAATACG